TACCTGGCAGGCGTCTTTACCACCTTCTGGGTATCCTGCACACAGCATGTCGTCGGTAATAGAAGATGATCCGTACTGTTTCCTGCAAAGTGCGTTAGTGATCACGGGTACTTGCACAGCCTGGAGGATGTTGGATATATATCCACCTACAATAGAACGCAAACATAAATTTCAAGTTGAATAAGAATGAACGCGGGTTGGGGTAGCAAAAAGAATGTGGATGTACGTGCATGCGCGTGCGTGCGTGGGCGTACGTGCATGGGTGCGCCAGAGCGTGTATGGATTTACGTGTGTTCTCTCGCGTATGAGCGTACGTACGTGTGTTCTTGTCTTGGTCTAAAGGATTACTTCTTTGTGAGCAATCGTAACGCAAAACCTGATTGATTAATTGACACATTTCTTTTTAAAATGACTGAAGTTCCTATTAAACACATCTTTCTGCGACATTCAAGATTGATACGTCTTCTCTGACTGCTCTGCATGACTGTATGACCATAGCATGTTATGCTTTCATTGTGAAAGATGCGTTCTTGCGATACGCTACCTTCTCGGACGGAACCCCAGCCAGAAACCAAGGCGTCTTCTCCAGCGTAACTTCCGCTGTTTGTTCCTGCCAAACCTATAGGACTGGCGGTTTCAGAATATGAAATGGTGGAGCTCAGAATCATGGTAGCGACGTCGTTATTGATACCATTATCGCCGTACGATTCGTGCGTGTAAATCTTGCTCACCTATTTATATAATTTATATAAGTAATCCTATATAAGCACGCTCCCCGTTTTCAAATCAAAATACAAAGGATTTAGGATAGATATAATATTACGAAAATTAAATAAATTAACGATTGCTTATTACATTATATATTACTGACGGAAATAGCTCTCATTTGTCATGGGTTTTAATGTTCAGTTCAGAAGTAGATGCGCTGCTCACACAGAGCACTCTTTGTTCAGAGCAAGATTGCATCCGATTATAGAACCATGGCAAACTATGAACGAAATCACACGTCACCTGCAGCGATATAATTTACACTGGGTACCAGCGTATGTGCATTACTTACTCCTGCCGTATTTCCATTACTTGTAATATCGGTGACACCATATTTGATAGAAAAGGAACTGGCGTAGTTTTCCAATCTGCAATTCATTGTGTCAAACATATATATATATATTCAATGGTTTAGCAAATAATATTTTAATCAGGCCAACCGTAAAAATTCAGCGATATATCAAAAACTAATTAATCATGACAAATATGATTGACTTGAAATTTTTCTAGCGGTTGCATGAATGTGCGGGTGCGTGAATAAAAGAACATGGAACATATGCAATAAACAAAACTCGCCCAGAGACGCAGTGAGCAGCAGTCAGAATGGTGTTTGAGCCAATAATGGAGCCTCCACATCTAAAGGATTCACGATAGTACATAGCAATCTGAAAATACGATTCAAATATCAGACTAATAGTTTCAACATAATGTTATATTCTACTCTTGTCATTTATCGTAAACGATACTATTTTTTACTAGAGAGCGTCAGCTTGGACGTACATAGTCGTAAGACAAAACGCAATTGGAATATGTAAATAGTTTACGTATAGTCTAGTGGAAATGAAGTATGTGTTATATAGTTTTTTGTGCGGCATAGCAAGAAGAACTTGGCTCTAGTACCTGGTATGGGTAATCCTCAATAATCACATCATCGCCGCCAACAATCTTCGTGTCCGGGGGAGCCCATCCTAAAACAGAGAGTCACATTGCTTTCGGAATCTTTGAAACGTTCGTTTTCTACTATCATATTATTACTTATTTCTCTCTAAATCGGCCAACAATGTTTCCGCCGTTAATTTACAATATGGCTAATTATCGCACACGCTCACAGAACAAATAATATAGAATAAAAACAACCATCTAGAAAACAAAATATGACACAAATGAGTTTGCCAATTTAAACTCATGAGTTTAGTTAGATCCTGAAACCTTCGGAAGACATACCTTCGGGAAGTCGTGGCCACCTCGGGGTAGTGGCGCTGGCGGCGCAGACGACGGCTAGCAGAACAAGAAGCTTCATGTTTAGTTTTGATGCTCTAACTCAAGTGCCTACATTGTCTTGTTACAAAGCTTATATACACCTTTATTATCTGCATCTAATCCCAGTATATCCCATGTTGTTACTCCGAGTATCACGATTTGTTTGTTTGTTTGTGTACCGATACTATCAAACAGCTGGTATATTATATTTCTGTAAATAATTATTATCTTGTTGTATTAACAGGGCGTTATATATGCTGCGTAGAAATAGCAATAATAAGCGTACCGTATGCCTGATGACCTATGTAAAATTGATTCATATTCAAAGTTGCCTAAAATTCTATCTCTAAAGACGTGAGCGCTTTCTCTTTGACATAATGCTTTTGCGAGTTACAACTGGGACTCATAAGTTACTAAACGCACACGAAGGAGTAGTATGTACGGGTATGTGTGCCCACATGGTCTAGTATTTGGACAACATATCCGCCTGTGGGAATCATACCAGACTGTCAGATAAACGCATGGTATCATATCATCCCGAACCATAACGAGATAGATCCATATTCAACGAGGTCGATTGATAATTTCAAAGGTTTGATGTGATGTTATTCGCTTTGCCATGTATACCATGCAAGCTGGTGCTTGATATCATCCTT